ATAAGGAAAACTGGAATGGTTCTTTCTGGCCTACTGACCGTCCTCAGTCAGCCATACCTAGGACGGTGCAACACCCGAAGCTTGAAAACCCTCCGACCTGTTCCTTAAAGTGCCCCTTCCATCATGTCAATATTCCCGATCGCAAACGACAGGACACCGGGCCCGCGTTGGGGACAGGGATTCGAGCCTCGAGAGCTGCCACACCTGGGGTGGGATACGAGCGGCCATCCCATTTGACCAGCTTGTCAGTGAATCTATTCTCTCTAAACAGCAACAACAGTATGCGAACTCACCGCCAGGAGGTTTAGGAGTTTGAGTGACAGATCCGCGTCAAAGTTGGAGTACTTCGCGTCTGTCATGTCGTAGATAACTGTGATACCCTGGATTTGTGTTCGTTCGCTGGAAGAGGAGAGGGAAAAGGTAATAATAGGCAGACAGTAGGCATTAGGAGACAATTAATTCAGATAAAAGATCTAAAAATGAGACATAGGGTGAAGTGGCATACGAAGGTGGACGTGGGTTTCGCAGGCGGTTCCTTTAACTTAGTAGCAGAGTCTTCTCGGCATGACAGGCGGCCGGAGAGAGACTATTACCGGAGAGCCAAGGCGCTCGCGGGCTGCCATGATGCGAAAAAGGCCGGGGCGTGGAAGGTTGCCAACTGACAAAAAAAATTAACTTTGTCTTCCTTTAGAATTAAAGGGCCAGGCAACGGCAAATCCCACCTTTTTCAGTCCCAAGCTTACGGTTACCGAGGGCTGAGGAACCGGCAGGATTGTAGCACACGCAGATGACAGCCCGGATGACAGGTTGACCGTCGGTTTCGACAGGGTCTATTGTGTGCGCCACAGCAAGATGGCACAGGAACAGTGACTTGCGCATGAATTGGATTAGAGTGAGAGGAGGAGGAGAAGTGCACTGCATATAGCGCGCTCTCTTCTTCTCGCAAGCGAGGCTGCTACCGAATGGGCAGAGTAAGGAGGACATTGTCTCCCGTATCGATGCTGCTCGCTGGGTTTTCTCGATCCTTCGAA